TGGTCACAGCAGCCGCAGGGACAGGCGGCTTCGACAGACTTTGAGTGTGACATGTAGGATGTGGCACGAGTTGAGGAGCTGGTGTGAAGTGTGAACTCACTGAGTGGCCTTCTTCTTTCTTAAGACTCTGGCACCAGCTGACTCTGCAAGTTTTGGACTTTGTTCAGGACCCTTGCTTTGCCCAAGGAGATGGACTCATCAAGGTGACGTGCTTGATTGTTCCCAAGTGTTTTATCTTTCTGTAGCGAAGATGAGTGATGGTGTTCTTGTACTAGTGAAAAATAAGCAGCCTGTGACTTATCTCTGGAGAATTATTAAACTAGGTGAATTCAGCTTCCTGGGGTTTATGCATTAGATGTGAGTGTGCGGGATTTGGTAGGTGTGTGAAAATTCTGCTAAAGCTAAATGTGTCAATTTTAGAAGCTTCAAAACGATTCTTTCATGCAATTAAGATTTTGGGGGGTGGGGGGGCGGGCGTGCAGGGGGAGCCTTTTCCTTTTGTAACAAGGGGTTTGCAGCTGCAAGCGTAGGATGGATTGTCAGGTGTTCGCAAATGCTTCAAAGTATTCTGTAGGTTATTTCACCCGCTGTCCGGGAGCTTCTTCCATTTATGAAGATAACAGCGTACTCAGCCCAGAGCCGCATGTTCTCTCTATGCCACAAGTAATCATGTATTTTCGCTCTCCTTTGTGTTTTTAGGTTAAAATTCCGTTCCCCAGGAGATAGTTACTTCCATGATAAAGAGCCGTGGGTTTCTAGAGACAGCCTCTTTTCCGAGTGCGTGCAAAGAGAAATTTGAAAGCTTTAGGCCGGTGCTTATTGTACAGTGGTGACTGAAGACATGCACCAGGCCAGCCCCTAGCAGGGAGGCGTTGTGTTGTAGTATCTACTAGCTCGTGAGTTTCTTGAATCACTCCTTGCAGTTGGAAGGAGACTGCAGAGATAGAATTATCTAAAAGGAGCAATTTTTGGCTCCTGGATTCTGTACGGTGTAGTTGGATGCCCTCTAATTTGTTGGAAAAACGTGTTGGGATACAGTGAAAAGCGAGTGTCGTAGCTGAAACGAAATTTCTTTTTGCCCTCACTGTCGATATCTTTGTGCCTACAGCTGTATGAGAACTTCATCAGTGAGTTTGAACACAGGTGAGTTTCTTTGCCTGGAGGTTTTTAGGTAACCTACTGTTGACTAAGGCTGTTCTGACGATGAGTTTTTTGTTCCAGGGTGAACCCCTTGTCCCTGGTAGAGATCATTCTTCATGTAGTCAGGCAGATGACAGGTAAGTGTCCTTACCTGTTACTTACAGTATTTTTAGCAACTGATGCCTATGAAATTTGACTAGTTAATAGTAACAGCTAACTCTTCAATGTTAAGCTATCGTCTTTCTGGTATAGTGAAAAGGGAAAGCATTAACTCAAAGAGCTTAAATATTTACCGCTACATAGAGCAGCAGGTCTACTGCTTCGCTAGAGAAACGGCTGATGAGCAGAAAGCCCGGCCTACGATAGTAGCAACTTTTGAAGGTTGAGCGGTACACTATAGAAAAAATATACTCCAGTCTTCATGAATCCTGTAAAAGGATTTATTTCTAGATTGAGATTTAGTTCCACGGGAATTCCTGATATTGCTGCCTATTTTTTTTTTTTCCCTTTACTTCAGATCCCAATGTGGCCCTTACTTTTCTGGAAAAGACTCGAGAAAAGGTATTTTTGAAATTGCTTTTTCTGGTAGTCCACCTACAGGAATTGTTTTGCATATGAGCATATATGGTATAGCTGAAGAGGCAGATATGTGTATGTTGAAACCTAGACAATACCTACTCTTTTTCTTGGTGAACAGCTCTGTATTTTAATGCAGGAACATCTTAACAAATGAAATGCAACCAGCACAGTCTAGGTTTCAAGAGCCTACCTGGCTGCAAGGGTAACACTCTCTGAACGTGTATCTTTGTGTAACTGCAGGTAAAAAGCAGTGATGAAGCTGTCATTTTGTGTAAAACAGCCATTGGGGCGCTCAAGCTGAACATTGGAGACCTGCAGGTCACCAAGG